AGCACCAATGACAGAAATAGCAGAATAGGTTGTTGCAGAATCCAACTCTAACATTTGACACTCAGAAAACTTCAAATTTTAAGCTTACTCCTTTGTGATAATCTTCTATTTCACATAATGTAAAAGAAAGATTTAAATCTCTGCTTTTCCTTTATGTTTGTGTGTCTGACTTTAATCTTTTCCAGTGAGAGAGACAATCTGTCATGTTTGTACCCAGGTCCATAATTTAAATTTAAAGTCTTTTAAATTCTGAAGCCTGAAGATCTTAAAACTTAGTATTTTGCAATTACAGTTAACAAGTTAGCCTATACCTGCAAAACAAATAAAAATATCTATTTCACAGTGTACTGACACTGAAATGCAATGAAAGTGCCTAAGGTATGTGAATCAATCTACCTAAATATTTACTGCTTTAATGAACTCTGAATTTATGGGTGTGCATATTGAAATGAGGTAATTATTTTAAATAGCACCTATGTATTTTTAGCTAAAGATAAATTACATTTCCTTAAATCAACCTGAGATTTGTTTGTATGGGTTGGGAGTGCAGCACAGGCTGCTGCAGGACAGGGGCAGCAGCAAGGAAGCAAACACCAGTCTTGTTTCCACTCTGCTGTTGTGGGGTGTGGAAGGCAGAGAGATGAGTTTCACACGAATGTGAATACTTGATTGGAGTGTTCTGTAAAGTGGATTCTTTGAATTTCACTCCCTTCATTTTGTGAGGAGTAGGCTGTATCACAGAAGCGTAGGCAGAGAGGGACCTCTGGAGGTCTTCTAGTTCAACTTCCTGGTCAAACCAGTGCTGACTTCTAAGGTGAATAAGATTGTCCAGGCACTTGGGTTAAACAAGCTTTGAAAATCACTAAGGATGGACATTCCACAGCCTCTCTTAATTTTGTTGTGAAGTATATTTCTTTATAGCTGACTGGAAATTCCTTTACTGCAATTTCAGATTACTGTCTCCTGTCCTTCCAGAGTGCACCTTTGGAAAAGGTCTATCTCTCTGAGCCCCCCTGTAGGCACAAAAGGCAGCAGTTAGCTCTTCCCTTTTGCAAGCATAAAAAAAGTCTGTTCCTCCGCTGCATTTTACCATTTGAAATATATTTCTTGTGTTGTTTGTGGGGCTTAAAAGTAGTCTTGGTGTCCCAGAAGTTTCCTTTTGATGCTGAGTAGAAAGAAATAAGCACTTTGCCTGCTGGCTAAGCTGTTGGTCGTGCAGCTGGGGATGTAGTTTGTCTGCATTGCTGCAAAGAGATACTGCTGACTCATGTTCAGCTTCTCCTTCAGATCATTTCCTACAGAGCAGCAATCCAGACAGACAGTCCCCAGCCTATCAGAATGCATGAGCTTATTCCCTCCCACATACAGGGGTATATTTGTCTCAGATACATGAAAACTTCTGGTTATTTTGGCTTAAGTAGATTCACAGTTAAATTGCTGTCTTCTTTGTGAAAGATGAAAAAGACATCAAAACTTCAGCTGACCTAATTATAAATATTAATTTACTCTCTATTGAGCATTCTGCACTTTCTAGAATTCCATCATAGCAAAGAGGTTTTTATACAAAAAAGGCATTAACAGCTGTTGATTTGGGCTATATGGCCAGGCAATAAAAAGGGTACTTGGAGTGTGCAACTTTGTACAGCAAGCAGACTATAAATACTCCATACCCTGCATCTGCTTGAATGGGAATGTACCATGGCTCAGGCACACCATATTCTGTAAATAATTAATTCTTCCAAAGAGTTGTTACAGGTTTCCTAAAATTAATACACTGTAGCACTATTAGAAGGGCTTAAATAATATATTCACTGTTGCCACAGTTATCAGGGATAGAACATTAATATCAAATGGATTTTTTTTTAACTCATCCTCAGATGGTTGCTTCAAATTCTGGTGATAGCCAGATCAAGGCATGTATGTTCTGGTTCCTCCTCTGCTTACAGACAAGGCTTCTTTCTTCTTTGGTGTTTCTTAGCAGAAGCCTGGTGTGCATCCTCCTAGACAGCATCAGTAGAAAGTGCTGCTGCTTGGGATTTGTACTAACCTTGTTATGCAATAATTGAAGTAGGGATTGAAATTTCTCTATATGTGGGGTTTTTTATATTATTTATCTGTATCCATTTATATCAACAGTGAATTTATCGCGACTGGACTGACCTGTCCTTTGATTAATACGAGGGCATTTGTACTTTGAGATAAGTACATGCTAGGAGATGGATGAAAAAAAACTTAGTGAATGTATGACAGATTTTCACCCAGATATTTAAAAATTGATGAGCACCAGATTCTACCCTGATTATGATCTTGCTCTATGATAATTTCAAGAAGGTCACAAGGCTTTCCTCTGTGTGTGTTGGGGGAAAATTGTTTTCACAAAGAACATTATTCCTGAAAGAAATAAGCACTCTATTTACACATATAGAAGACTTCTCAAGTCCTCCAGGAAATCCGTTTGAAAACTATTTACAGTATTAGTATGCAAATTATATACCACACACTAAATGGGATTCTTGCAGCAGAGCACTCTGACAGGCATCTCACTATTTGAACTATGGTAGTACAGTTAAAAAAACAACACAAAAAGAAAACACAGCTGGATATAATTGTATTCAAACAGATACTTATTATGTTAATGAGGGCATACAAATAAAATTAAATGTTGTCCAGCAAAGGTTTTCCCACAAAGGCTGAGTTATTTTAGCTAAATGTTCACATAATGCAACTTCTGGTGTTTATTTTAATTGAAAAGATGTTTTATATTTATTCCTAAATATTTACAGATGAAATTTGGCAGCATCAGAAAAACAATAAAACCCATCTCATATCAAGTATAATTTAATAAACATACTTCAGCTAAGAAGAAATCTTAAATTGTGTCCCAAACTACATTAGGTACTTCTGATCATATAATTTAAATAAAATTATGAGAATGCTCTTGTATAGAGGTAGTGATGCATGTCTTGAGCTCCTTTTGTTACCCCAGGTTGTCAGAGTAGTTGATACACCCTTTTGCCACCTCCCCTTCTGCCCTGAAGCTTCCTGATACTTCCTTGCCTCTGCCTTCCTGGGGCTGCTCTCCTGCCAGCTTCTCATCAGTCCCACCTCGGTCCAGGTTCTCCCCCCACAGCCTCTCCCTGCCTGTGCAACTTCACTTCAGAGTGAGGGGTTTGAAGCAGCCAGGTGTCAGTAAGAATCCACTGAGTGCTGTAGGAGGTCACTACTGGGTCAGGCCTCTTTGCAACCAGCAAAATTGTTGCCTTTGTTTCGTTTCTAAAAGTCCAGAAGTTCTTGTCCCCCTTGCATCAATCTGTACAATTCTGGAATGGAAGTTACCCAAGCAAGTTGCAAGATCTGTCCATACCAATTTATTTCTGGTGGGCTCAAAATTTTTAAAAATAAGAAGCTTCAGATGAGGTTTATCCCTTTTTTTTTTCCCCCCTCTCCATTTTTAGGACATACTTAAAAGTATAACTTCAAAGCATGCTTAGAAGCATAAAAACCGTAACTGAAAACTGAACAAATAACAGTTTGTGCCTTATGTAATTGTGCCTGCTATTCAAATTGTTACATTCAAAGGCTGTAGATGTTGTTAAAGCCCCTGCTTTCTTCACTGCCAGCTGCTGCTGTAATCTTAAAGTAGATGCACTTGGTTTTTTTAAACTTTATATCTCAATATACTGCCCTGGGAAATTGCTTTCTGCTTTTAAATTGGCCATCATGCAGAACTTTGTATTTTTCAACCTGTCTTTTTCTTTGAGATTTTCAAGTTATTTCTGAGTTCAAAACTTCCCATTTTTGTTCAGAAGCACAAAAGTTACTGTCTCAATTCTAGTGTGTCAGGTGCAGTCTTAAGAATATTGTCTATTTTTATCATTAGCAATGAGAAGCTGTTTCTACTTCAAATGTTATGTGATCAAATGCACACTAATTTATTACTTTAAAATAGAAACTTATTTATTTATTAATTAAAAAAAAAACGTACTGGATGAAAAAAAAATCAGTCTGTTGTTTAGAAAATTCTTCAGAGGCAAAGTAACATTGCTCTCTTTAATGAAAGCTATTTTTTCTTAGCTATATAAGATATTCTTAGCCTATACAAGCCTAAATTTTGTCTTATTAAATTTAGAGTCACATCAAGCATTGTCCATTCTGATAAGAAGACAGAGGTTGTATCATTAGAGCAATAATAAGTCCAGCTTAGCTGTTGGGCAAGTAAATTCAATATCTAGCTACTTCCATTAAAAATACCCCAACCTACTTTCAGTAGAAGTCTGTTCCCACTAGAGAACAGATTTTGTAGTTTCCACTCAGTGTCAAATGTAATCCCTCCAAAATCAATAGATAAGACTCACCTGAGAGCAAAACACTTTTTTTTATTTGTTTCCAGCAATGGGTAAAAAACAGATTTACAAATAGATTTTGTATTTAGAGGGAAGTGTCAAAAGAAGATGAATTAGGAGAAAGTAGAGTACTTGTGTGCTTTGGGAGGCCACAGAGTTGTGAGAATGAACCACTGAAACCCAAATCTGATGTGTTGAGAGTAATTTTATTTAGGCTGTCAGTCTTCTGGTTAGGCTGCAGAAGCCTTTTTTGTTGGTTTGGTTTGGTTTTTTCTCTTTCTTTTCTGTAGAAACAAAACCTTTTTTTTTTTTTTTCATTTTGTTTTAAAACATAATCCTCTTTAAAAATTGACCCAAAACCAAATGCTCCTGAAGGGAACCTGAGGTTCACAGCTGAGGTGAATACTTCACAATTCTGTTTATTTTGTCTCATTAAGTCAAACCATGCTCCTTAGAGGGATAGCTACAATGTAATGAATGGCTTCCTTGGCAAAACCAAAACAGAAACTGATTGGTTTCCATTGTCTTGGCAATTTATTTTATTTCAATTTCATGGTGGGGAATTTATTTTTCAGTCTTGCACTCTGAAGAGGAGTAGCTCAGAGAAGTTCCATCACAGATTTAGCCTTTTGCTTTCCATTCTCTTTCTTTTAATAGCCTGGCTGTGTAAACACTACTGAAGTGGATATAAAAAAATCTTCAAGAATGAGAAATCCACATAAAACAAGAAAGGTAAGCTATTATATCAAAAGCAGGAGGTGGAGGAAATTTATAGAATGAATTTCCATAATTTCTTAAAGCACTTTTTTCTTACAGCTGCAAGGAGCAAATGCATGAAATGTATGTTAATATTTCATAAGCTCTTAGTTGAATTAGTATTAACAAATTTGCTAATGCTAAGTGAATGCTATCACATAAGATTTTGGAGAAATACAAAGAGATTTTGAAGATAAAATTCATTTTTGCATGCTTTATTCATGTTATTCAGTAGATTGAATAAAGCACATTAAAATGTTTCTGTAAGTAATTAAGGAAAAAAAAGTTAAAAATTCAGTACAAACTCTAACAGCAGTTCTTGTCCTGGTCTTCATGAAAAGGGTGTCTCTATATTACAATTATGCCCAAAATGGATGACTGGAAATGATGGAAGAAATTAGCTCTATCTAAATTAGGTTGTAATTAGAGTGTAACTTCTCTAGGGATGTACAGATGGATTGGCTCAACACTTTTACATCCTTTGCACCATAACCATATAGTTTGACTCCCACTTTAAAGTACTTCCTTTGAGGTGCATTTGCATGTTGACCCATGGGAAGGTAAGTTTTATAAAGGAAAGTGGACTTAGAGAAAGTTTTAGCTTGGCTTCTTTATGGTAGTGAAAAGTCCAGATTAGTGTAATTTACCAGATAGTAATTGCAATTTTGGAAGTAATCCAAATAATCTGTGAGTTAGTGTACCTCTCAGGATACTGCACCTACCAGTCATCTCCTTATATATGCCATTGCTTACTGCAATAGCATCTCTCAGTGACGTTCCCCATGTTTAGTATGATGCAGATATAGAGACCTAATAAAAGTAGATTCTTGGTTGTGGCTTTGTGGAATTGTGGGAGTTTGGGAGTCTTTATTTTACACTCTAGTGCAGAAGCATGATTTTTTCTGAGTGTGTGGGTTATTGAAGTTTCTTTAGGTAAAGATGATTTTGGCTAACTTCTTGAGCACAATGTAGTATGGGTGTGTGTAGAAAGCATTGTCTGAAAGCAACCATCATTGTTCCATATTTTTTTGCACAGTCTGTCTATGGCTTACAAAATGACATTCGAAGTCACAGCCCTACGCACACACCAGTGCCAGAGACTAAGCCACCCACAGAAGATGAACTACACCAAGAGGTTTGGAACATAACTACAAAAATGTACTTTTAAAAGAACTTTTTCGGTGATAACTTTTTAGGTATAAACCCAAAAATTATTGTAACTGGGAAGTTATTCAAAACAGCTGTTGCAAACATTTAATAAACCTTTTCCTTGTCTCAAGGTATATGGATTTAGGCATCTAACTTCCTCAAAACTAATGAGACAACACCTGAATTTTTTGTATCATGTATTAAACACCTATAGGCAGTGGGAAGTAGGCCAGTGAGTGGGTAGGTTGTATAGCTAAGCCCATTAGCCCCTTTAGCTGTAGAGAGCTCGCTCTTCTTTCTACGCTGATTTGAGGCTTGGGGGTATACTTACCACTCCATACATGCATGTATAGGTTCACACACTTATCTACTGTTAAAACTTTGTTAATCTTTCCTGAGATGGAAAGATTAGAGAGTCTGGAGAAGTTAAATGTCTGAAGAAGTATTAGTTCTCCTCAAAAATCTAAAAAAAGGCTAACTGGATTTCTGTTGATGAACCTTTAGGGAAAATGTTATATTGGGCACATTTTTTTTCTCTGTATGAGCTTTTCTCTTTAATGGAAACTTCCATTTATTTTAGAGCTACACTGGTGAAATGTTGTTTTAATTCAGATATATTTCTCTTCTGTGCCCTAGGATAAATTAATGTTCAATTACAGCCCTAATAAAAAAAGTTATAGAAATAGAGTCAAGCAATAAATTACTCATAAAACTCTTTTCCTTCCTTTCTTGCAGATTAAGCACTGGCAAATGCAATTAGACAGACATAGATTAAAAATGTCAAAAGTTGCAGAGAGGTATGTATATTGTCACATTTTCTATTTTTTTCAATTAGACTGGTAACTATTGGGAAAAATGTCAGTGTGAAATAGTTTCAAAGAGCTGTTCACTGCAAATAGCTCTTCAAAGAGAGACAGACATGAGAGCTCAGATGTCATAGAAATAACTGATGAGAGTTTACTTTAAGTGGAGAAGTATGAAATTCTTTTAGTGATAAAACTATTCCAGATATTCCATGATACATTTCTGATAAACCTGAGTCACTGAAAGAGCCTCTGACCAAGTGATTATAAGTTTCACCTTTCATTGGCAGGGAGGCTAAATGGGAATAGGTCTGGGGTTGTTGTTTTGATATTTCAAAAGGGCAATCACTGATGGAGCAAGGGAATCGGCTGGTGTGGAACTCAGTCAGTGCTTGAACAAAGTGGGTTTGGGCTCAGTTTGGGTCAGAGATGTAACACTAGTAGGAATCTCTCTGCAAATAAGACCTAAGTTTGTCAGGAAGTGGCTAGAAAGCAAAAAAAAAAAAAAAAGCCCAACATTGCAGAAAATTGAGCTGCATGGGACTTAGTAAAGGAAATAAGGCCAAATACAAATTGCTGTTCATCTTCTCATAAGCATTTCTGCATATATGTCTACTAATTTATGTGTATGTGTGTATACATATGCAAATCCAAATAAATATTTATTTATAAAGAGAGCAGGCGAAGATTTTTTTGTTTGCTGAACAGTAAAAAAAAAAGTATACTAAAGATAATAGGAATTGAAAAGAAAGAATAGTTGTCCTCACTTGTCAATAATTTTACAAGAATTATGAGGCCAAAGGAAACAGCAAGCATACATAAGGACAATGGGAGATGTAAATTACCAGAATACAGGAAAAATTTTTAGTGTGTGCGACCGAGTCAGACCAATTCCTGAATATTAAAAAAAAATTGTGAAAAAAAATTGATTTATTTTTTAAAAAATAAATCTGGGAATAATGCCCTTTGATTAGGAAGTAATAAAAATATATTTAAGAGAAAATAAAAAGAGTACTAGCAGCTGCAGGGCAAATAAATATAACCTGTGTAACATGCAGTGTTTTAGAACAGATTTTAAGGAAACTGTTGATTAAAACCACAGGGATATAAAACATGTTCCTTTATGAAAACAAATGTACATGGAGGAGGTTGTATGATTTAATTTATTAGTGCCTAAAGGAACCTTAAATGGAGCTATGTGGAAGTATTAGGGAAGCTTATTTTATTTCTACTCTGGGTAGACCTGAGCCACCCCTCCTTCTTCAATGGTCCACTGTCAAACAGCCTGAGCAAACCTATTTCACCCGGAGCTTTTGGCTGCCTTCTGTGTGCACACACAGTTACTATGGCTTGGTGGATGCAAGGTAACTTGTTAGCTGGGGTAACCTCATCAGGTTTCTTCTCCTCCTGACATGACAATGTTTGATGCTTTTGTTTTCCTAGTCTATTAGCTTATACAGAGCAGTATTTGGAATATGATCCTTTTCTTGTGCCCCCTGATCCTTCAAACCCTTGGATATCAGATGACACCACTTTCTGGGAACTGGAGGCAAGGTATACAATTTTATTTCTTCTTTGGAAGTAAGGGAGTATAACATGCTTTTCTGGAAATGTGAAGATTTCAGACAGGGGTACTGCAAGAGAATACTGAGGCCTTAGAAGGGCAATGCAGTATGCTTTTGGTCTTTCCAGTTTTACAGATTTGTAAGATGGGGAGTGCTATATATTAATAAATCCGTGTGAAGTGTTACAGTAACCAGTTTCCAAGCTTCTACTATAGTGAAAAAAAAAAAAAAAGATGGCTTTTAAAATCTGATAACATTCCTAGTTGGAAGTCTTTATTTTTCTGTGTATTACCTTCATCCTAAGTAAGTATTAACAGTCTGTTTGCTCATTGCTGAACATTGCACAGATGTGAGCACTCTAAAAACTGAGAAAACCATGGAACTATATGACTTGGTCTATATTATGAACACATTGTTAGAATACTGAAGTTTTGTTCACTTCGGGTTCTGTTGTTTTTAATTCTGTAGCAAAGAGCCAGGACAGCAGAGGGTGAAACGATGGGGATTTGGCATGGATGAAGCTTTGAAAGACCCTGTGGGAAGAGAGCAGTTTCTAAAATTCTTGGAGTCAGAATTCAGTTCAGAAAATTTAAGGTAAATGGGAGTTACTTTCTTTTTTAATAGCTTGTAAGTTATATTCAGTTATATTTTTTGACCCCTTCAGAAATTTTCCTCACCTTTCAGAATTAATTCATCCAGATTGCTACTCACTTTCATGTACAGGCTGAAGGAAATATTCATATAGTTAACAGAGACTCACATGAGGCATATTTTTCCATTCATATTCAACTTTTGGTCAAACTACTCATATAAGAACTTTTCTCTAAGCTTGTCTTTTAAACATGTATAAAATGGATTCATTCAAAGCCTGTTCAATATAATTTATTTAGTCAAATATTATGAGAAAAGTAAAAAGAAAATAAGAAAGATTAAAAATAAATAAAGGATCTAAAAGTAAAATTCATTGACTTTTATCATGTTGATTGGTTTCTGGGGATCATTTTGAATGTATCCACCAATATTCTAATACTTGTGCATCTGACACAGCTGAAGTAGGGTGACATCTAGCTCTCAAATTCCTCACTAGTTGTAAAATGGAAAGTGTTCTCAGTGTATGCAGCATAGATGGTATTTTTTTAACAGTGTGCTTACAGAATTAATTTTAAGTGAGGGGAAAAATGTCTTGATTTTAAAAATTGCAGTCCATCAATTGATTAATAGCATGTTTTGTTTTTGCTGTTCTAAGAAAGTCATATTTCAGTAAGATTTATTTCAGAGAGATTAACAGCCTTTCTATAGACAGAAAAATTAAGCTGAGCATAGTACAAAATTATAGGCAACATGTTTTTATCTTAATTCCACCTTCTTGTCAGATGTCATCTGTATCACTTTCCATTCACCAATAAGTAGTATAAAATCCTATTTGCATTTACATTCTAGAACTCAGAATAATCCTAACCTACTTTTTTCCTATGCCAATTCTTACTCTAAAGTGGTGCAGCATAGCCATTCATACTAAAATTATGCTTTTGTAGCATCCTACAAGAGGCATTTAATATTTATGATGTTGATTTATAAATGCCGGGTAATTGCACAGATCTCCTTGTTGTTAATTTAAATTTGTCAGCAGAATAATGAGTTGGAGTCCTCTAAGTTGCTGACCATATTCATATTCAAACATTAATTTTGCATCACAAATATAGCCTGACCTGTATGTGTATGTTGATGACTTTATTTGTCACAAATACAGATTTTTCTTATTAAAAACTCCAGTTGGTAAAATGAATGTTTAAAAATCAGAATAAGACCAAGAAAAGGAAAGGTAATTTTTTTCTTTTTAAATTATTGTTTAAAGAGCATCCTGGTAATTTGTTACGCAGAGCAGCTGTTCAAACATGGACCTATTGAGCCCAGTGTGTGCTGCAGTTTGTGGTGCTTTCCTGTGATTAATTTGTCTCTCTGCCAACTAGACTGTTACCCACATAATCCCTAACTCTTTTGTCTAATCCTATTTGCAACACTAAATACAGGCAAACTGCAAGTAACTGATCTAGAAAAATTCCCTCAAGAAATTTCTTCAGAGGTGATTCCTTGACATGCCATCTACTCTTCTGTCTGTTCCTCTAAATTCTTAAATTGGCATTATTAAATATAGTATCTGAGAAACAGTGAATATGATCTTAAAGGCCAGGCAGGGGATAAATTTGCTCTGAGAAGGTGCTTTCTGTGATAATTAACTGAAGGGAAAATGTCTCAGAAACTCAGAATTATATTTGCAAATGCCTAAGCTGTAGGGAAATCAGTCCATTAGGTTCACATAGTAAATTTGGGTTAGAAAACATGAGTTTGTAAAGCTTGTTATGCATGCCTGTCAAAATGTTTTAGATGTCAATAACAGAAGTTAAAAGCTTGATGATTTCAAGCATTACCACTAAATAAACCTTAGAAGGCAACCACTTTCATTGCTCACCTGTTAACTCCATCATGATAATTTGGGGGTTTTAGTGGTATTTTTTAATTATTATTTTGACAGCCACCTTAAGAAAAACAATTATGTCCACCCACATATTCCCACTGCAACAAATTCAACTCAAACCAGTTGCTGGTTCTTGTACTTTTACAAATCTAAAAATGATAAAATTTACAACACTGCCAAGCCTATAGTTGGATGGCAGCTGGGACCCTGCTTTTGAGCTTTCAAGTATCTGAGTACACAGGATACAGCAGGGACTGCAGGGGTGACAGGAGCTTCAGCAATAGGTGATTAGGTGTCTTCTACCTCATTTTGTGAAACAAACACCAAAACCATGAAATGATAAGTCTACCAGATACACCATTTCTATTCAAGTGTAATGATATTACATAGCAAGAAGTCCCAGTGTTACTGTTACATTAACTTTGACTGAGAGTGCCTAACGTATCTGAGAATCTCATTCTTGGCAGATACAGATCCTGTCTTAAAGGGTCTGTATCCCTGCCTTGGGATCCAGATCCTGCCCTAAGGAAGACAGCAAGGATGAAGGGCCTTGAGCTGTGATTTCATACTAAGAATTGTGCAGTGATCAGGAATATAACCAGGTTTCCCTTTCTCACTTTGTATCTCTGTTCTTTTTTCTTTGCCTGTAAATGGGGCTTAATAGTATTTCACTCTCTCAAGGAGTGTTGTAAAGAAATAGCAAAGGAATAAAACTGCATAAGCAGTTCTGTCAGTGCAGTGATTTCATTACAGTGTGACTGCAGCTTGCAGGTTGGATTCTGCACTCACCTGATGCAGGGTATGACTTGTGATCTCTTGTTACCATGCACATTTTTTGGAAGAATTGCTTTGTGTGCTGCTCAATACACAGAACAAATAGCTAAAGTAACATATGATTTGGATAATAGATTTATGAAATTCCCAATGCCTATTACAAAAATGGTGAACATTGTTTAAAATTCACAAGACTAAAGTCTGAGTATGATCCAGGTCTATTGAGCTTAGTCACAAGGTTTTCCGAGTGCTAAAAAAAGTACTTTTCAAAGAGAGTGAGTTTATGAAATCAAACTTACAGCAGCATGGCACCTAGAGACCTAATGTCTTTAATTTCTGTTGGAAATTGTATTCCTCTTCTTGTCCTTCCTTTGTCTGTAGTGCAGCAGAATTCTTTGGAAAATTAATATTTGTATGCTGACTATAGGTTTGCTCCCAACTGGTTGTTTTACAGGAATTGCAGCCTGTAAAGATTAAATAATTTCAGACCTGCCAACCTGAAAGCCTGTCCAAATCCTTGTGCAGTGAGTGTGATCTCCAAAGCAGCTCTAGGACTGAAAAACCTCCTAAGTTAGTGAAGGGAGAGTGGTGACAGGTTAGGTTTCATGATACACAAAAGGAAAAGCCACTGGACCCCTTGTCCATTCCTTGATGCTCATTTCTTAGGTCTGTAATGTATGACTAGTAGGGGAAAAGGGACTTTGCATTCTTGTTATCCAGAAAAAATGAGAGAGACTGGGAAATTTGATAGATTTGGATGTCTTCCCTCAATAGTTTTTGTCTAACCATCCCCCTGCAAGCTGACATTTTATGAGGTGTTTATCCTTTACAGTGGTGATTATGAGGCCCTGTTGTGGGTGCTAATAACTTGACTGAAATGTAATCCTCAAAGCTGAAATTGCCTGTGAGTTATTTCTCATTCAGACTCAAGCTTAAATGCCAAGTGCCAGCAATGTTGCCATTTCTGCAGAGCAGATGAGAAAAAACTAGTTGCAGGATTTAATGATTTTCTCTGTCATATTCTTGAGATCCTTCAGTTCTACTATGCCTTGAAGCTTGAAGTTGTAGTGGGCAAGAAGGTGGACTCTAGAAATCAGAGAGCAGTGTTTCCTGGCCCTGGAAAAAATATTACGTGATTTTATTCATAGAGTTTGTTTAGGTTTTTGTTTGCTTTTTCTGAAAATGCTGAAAGGTCTAGCCTCTTGTTTTGTCACATGCAATGAGTGCAAAGTTCACATAATTCCCACTCCAGTGTTTCCACACTGAATATACCTCATGAGTTTCAGAGAGAACCACTGCAGCCCTCCTCTCACTTGTTGTTCCTTTGGGCTAAATTTAACTGATTAGCTTGTTCTGGAATCTGGCTGCACCTGTCTTTAGGTCAGTTAATGGGACAGAAGCTGTGTTGCAGCTGTGCTATTTATCCATAAGGCCACTGTGGCTTTGAAAGTAATCCAGCTGGAGGACATAATCCCCAGATACCTTGCAACATGTGTTTTAGCAGTCCATGTGGCTGGATGTGCTACTACTGTGCACTACACACCCTCGCTCTGCTCTGTGACCCAGCAGGTGGCAGCCCAGATGCTGGGGTAGAGGACAGCAGGGAGGTTTACACTCAGCTCCTCAAGTCTCTGTTCAAATAGTGCTGAGCATCTGCTAGAAAGGGTCTCCATGGCAAAAGCAAACCTCCACCAACAGGAAATGCAGTTTCATCCGAGGGCAGCCAGACTGAGTTCTAGTTCTTTACACAAAGTAGCACCAAGGCTGTGTATATCATTGCCCAAAAAATGCAATTCCCCTTCTCCCCTCACCTGCCCTTGCACACAGTTAATGTTGCAGACTGTGTGCTTTTTGCCACTGGAGACTTCCCTTGCTCTGGTCACAGCTCATGAGGCAGAGAGCCGTAAAATGGTACAGGGAGCTCTTTTGATTTGAGGCCTTTTGCTGAGGTCTTGTGACTCCATTTCAACTTCATCTGTGCTATTGGTTGCCATGGGATATTTGAAAAAGTTATTTTTGAAAATGCAAGAGGGAGCAGCTTTATTTTTGTCATTTCTTAACTTTGAATATTTGAATTCAACTCTCTGTGGGAGGAGGGCAGGCATCTTTTCTTAAAAGATAAGTAGATTAAAATCTTAAAATGTGTGTTGGCTGTGAAATAAGCACCCTAGACATAACACAGAAATCATAATTCTTCCCACTTTTAGAGAGGTTTCTATATTTAGAGTTTCACATTTTTAGTTGAGCCTTTGAATGCTATTGTTAGAAGGGTAAAATTAAATTAATCTATCAAAGAACTGGTGTTCTGCCTGCAAGAATTGGTCTATACAACCTCCCCATTCTATGCTGCAAGCATAGAAGTTAAATTTGTTGAAATTTATCTCCCATCTATTTCCCCAGAATTGAGTATAGCCTACTATATGAAAACAGTTTGCTTGCAAAAGCAAATAGCATCCTAAGGCATGTTTGCAGTGACTCCCAGAGTTATTGGCAGTGATACAATGGAACAAAAAAGGAAGTGACATCTCTGAGCTAGATCTGCAGGATGTCTGCAGGGAGACAGAAAATGTGTGTTTACAAAGAGCATCCTTCCCTTTCATTTTTGTGTTCCTTACCTGACTTGGAGACACATGAGCAATCAGTCAATCCCAGAAGATGCACTTGAAGGGGTTAGCACTGCAGGATATGTGCTTTTAAATGCAAATATCTAAAGCAGCTTAAGGAAACGAAAGTAGGTAGCCCAAATTTGAGAGAGTGAACTGAATTAGAGTTTGTGAGCTTTGCAGTTTTTAAACTTCAGTTATCAGGCATTCCTGCATTGCCATCAGATTCTCAGGGTACATCCCCAGGCTCTGTGCAGAATTATGTTCAATTCACATTCTCAGGATACATCCCCAGGCTCTGTGCAGAATTATGTTCAATTCACACTGTAATTCATCTATAAAAGAGATGCTACACAGAAGTTTTGAAACTGGAGTTCTATTGGCACAGACCCCCTTTGTGACCTTGGTGAAACCACGGTACATTATTACATTATTAATATATTTGCAAAACTGGGACAATATTGCTTCTCTGTCTCTTGGAGAATCTTAGATGAAAAATTTGTGCTTATGTACAATTGAAATTGAAGGTTGTAGAAATACCTGAAATAGTCTTCTTGGCAGCATGAAGCTAACCATGCTGGCTTGTGGAAAATGAACACAGGTCCCTTCCATCTGTGCTACAAAGAAATTTCAAAACAGGACTATGAAGGAATAATTGCTTCCTGAGAGGAAGTGAAGGATATCTTATAGCAAGAGTTCTATAAGGTTTGCTCTGCTTTACTATCCTCTCTTAAGTTTTTTGCAATAATTAAATTAGAATTTGGATTGAGGGTGATGTCATTTTGCTTTCCTGGGGGTCTGAGGACAGTTTCACTGTTCTCTCCTATCCCATCCTTGTTGAACTCAGCTAAGAGAGCTTAAGTTCATCTCACAGTGTAAGCAGGGTTTAAACCACAAAGTGTACCAAATTTAATTGTGAACCTTGGAAAATCCAGCTGATTTCAAAGTTAAATCACTTCAAGGCTCAGCTTATCTGTTTCATAGGATCAGCTGTGTCAGAACAATAATGAAAAGTTGCAATGGTATATGTTGCATGTTTACCAAAGTCAAACTTTAGTTGAGCTCTTGGATTTTGGGGGAGAACTAAGTGGTCTGAACCATGTCTAACAATGTGATCCTAGATTAATTTAGGATTATTTTGTGCCATGAGAGAGTCTGAACACCAATAGAAGAAATAATGAAATAAAGCTTACAGCTAGTTAGCTATAATCATAAAGTGCTCAGGGCCTTTTTTAGTGATCTTGTTCCAGACTGAATGAGGATACAATGAACTGGCTGCACTACATATGGCTGCCCAATGTTGGTTTGCTCGGCAGCAGAAGAGAGAAAGTGTAATTCCATTCAGCGTTTTGAGCAAAAATATGCATGTAAATGGAATGCTGAAAAGAGAAATTAAATTACAATTAGCAAAACAAATGCTTTTTCAATGTATGCATGAATTCTGAGTAACAAAATTAGTTACAAAGTTTAGGATTTAGTAGGACTCAGAGATTCATGTAGGTAGCAAGAATATAAATGATTAGTTTTTGAAGGAATGTCAAAAAGCAGTTAGTTTATAAGTAATAAGCCCTTGTGGTTCAGCCAAAATGAAGTGTCAGTTTAATTCTAGCTAAATCTGGAATCTTCCTGCAAGCACATTACCCATACATAAGTAATGAAGGATTTCCTATCTATCCCATGAAGAGTCTTCTAAAAATTTCTTCCCTGAGTGGATTGATTGCCTTGAGACAGTACACCAGAATGCTGATCCCAACATAAAATCACTCAGCTTTTTCTTATTTTAGCATGTCTAGATGAAAACTTCAGTTACTTAATTTCTTTTTTAAGAGCAAGGAAGAATGTGGGCACTTCATTAGTGGTTATCCTGAGCTGAGCTGGAAGTCAAGGTGCTCTGTTGTGCCATAGGTTCTGGTTAGCAGTAGAAGACCTGAAGAAGAGGCCAATCCGTGAAGTTCCTGCTCGTGTCCAAGAAATCTGGCAAGAATTTCTTGCTCCAGGTGCACCCAGCGCCATCAACCTAGATTCCAAAAGTTATGACAAAACCACTCAGAATGTGAAGGAACCTGGAAGATACACATTTGAAGACGCTCAGGTCAGTTTGCAATTGTGTTTATGGACATCTGAAATGGAATATTGGCTAGTGAAATCTGTATGAAAAAATGAGATGTATTTGGGAATTAAATGATAGCACCCTGTTTCCTAAAATGCCATTTTGGCAATGCAAATGCATAACATTCCTTCTTTCATGAGGCATATGAAGTTCTTCATGAAACTCCTGTGCTTGATACAGAGGTTTCAAGTGGACTTTGAATGAAGGAAAGCATGTAGTGAAGAAAAAATGAAGTACTTTTGTATTAAATGCAACACTTCCTATGACTTATAACTTAATATTTAATCTCTGAAGACTTCTGAGAAAAGCAATAGAAAATAATTGGATTTACAGTAAAAGTAGCAGAACTGGTACCATCCTCCATTTTCATCAGCAGCCCAGTGATGAAAATTTAATTATTAATGCAAAGTGAAATGGTGTCAAAAGGAGAGATTGAGATCATATCCCTGCAGAATTTCCTGCAGTTTGATTATTAGGCCATCATCTTTGGAGTCAGGAGATGCTGCTACAAGGCCCGTGAAGGAGAAAAGGGAATTGAACTGAGGCTTTCTACTTTTTGGGAGAATGCCTCTGCCCTAAATATGAGGGGGAATAATTTTACCTCCTTTTAATTTTTCCATTATGAGAACAGCAACCTATGAAGAAACAAGGAAATTTTCAGTAGACCGTCTGTCATAGCCACTGTTTTGAAGTACTCTGCATTTAACCACACATACAATTTTTACTTGCATCTGCTGACCCCTGGAGATTTAAGAATGCGGTATATAGCAAAGACATAAATGGCAAAAGTAAAAATAGAGCAAGATTAAAGGTTTTTAAAAAATGTGTCTTTGCAGTTGAGCGAGTAATTGACATTTAAATTCCTTGCCAGTATCTTCTTTTTTTGTAATGAGTGTAAAATTTCAATACTCTTTTACTGCCAGATCTCTCTTTTTGTAATTTTGTCCTTCATTTATGAAAGACTTGGAATATTCAGTGTTTATGCAAGCAGGACTTTGCCACGTGGAGAGGACCTCTGCTTCATCCAGTTCAGCACAAAACCTTAAACCTGGAAGCCTGAATTTCTGTGGAAAAGGGACAGGCTGCACCTGCTGTGTTCTTACTTGAAACTTTAGGAACTTTAAAGTGTCCCACCTGAGGTGGAGGGTTTTGTCAGGGCTAGGGCTCTGCCTCTGCAGCAGGCTTTTTTTGGCCTGCCAGCTGGGAAGGAGACTGCTGGTGTGCCATTCTGGCAGTTGGTGGGTCATTTAATTGTGATTAAAAATGTATTAAAAGAATTTCTAGACTGGAAACATAGAAATATGAAACTCCATGTCAAATGTAGATACATAGGTAAAATGGGACACATAAGTAAAAATAGCCCATTTGTGCTAAATATGTGCATTAATATGTCCCTGGCTAACTTGTACATTAACAATACTAATACAGCCCAATTTATTTTTGCTTTGACAGGCATATTTCTTGTACAAAAATTAAATTTTAGTGCTCGTCACCACTTTCTGCTCTCTGTTGACTGAGAGCAGAACCTTCCCCAAATAAACCAGTCTAAGTTTTGAATATACATCAGAATTTCTCTGCTTACTGTAAGAAATACAAAGACATTTAGAGTAGCTTCTATGGTTTCTAATACAGCAAAAATTAAACATCATTTCTAATTTTACCTTGCCTTAATTTTCAGACAAGGTGGGGAGTTTTGCTTGGGGCTTTTTTGTTCATTTTGGCTTTTTTTGTGTTCATTAATTTTATGCAGTACCAAGCTGAGAAACAGTATTTTCTTTCCAGTTTGTTTGCTGTTTCCCAATTGCTGTGCTACAAATTTCCTACAGTAAGAAATAGAATCTGAATAAAACAAGAAGTCCATGAAAATAGGTAATGATAGAATAGCTAATGATTCAGGGTTTTAAAAAAATATTTTTGAGAGTATTTTCTGTTCTGGCTGCTTTTTCTACAAATCTTTTCTCTAGCATATCATTAGAACTAGAATTATCAAGATTTTTTGTTTTTCATCTTTTTCAGAAATTAGAACATTCCAAAATTAAGTTTTTTTAAGCTGCTCTTGTCATTTAATTTCTGAATAAAGGTTTCCAAATATTCATATGCCTCTGAAGAATTAGTATCTTGAAAATTAGATTAGCCTGGTACTGTTTTCCAAATGACATGTGTATTTTCCTTTTTTATATTGTTAACTGGAGAGCAGACTAAACACCTGTCAAAGGATTTTGTCAAGAGTAGCCAGGGAAATCCTCAGTAACCTAAGCATTAATTGTGGTGCTGAATTGAAATCGTCTTCTTAGACTCTGAAATCACATGAGTATCTCCAGAAACTAATTCAGAAAATCTGATGAGGAAGGACCCACAGCTCTTAATTTCATCACTTAGCTAAACTAACTAATGTAAGGGAGGTTTGAATTTGGACCTGAAGCTAGGACTCATTTATCAATTCTTAGAAATTAATTTTGTACTGGAAAATTTGGTCAATAAATTAAAGTTGTGTTTTGTAATTATACGTAAGAAATGGATGGGATTTCAGCTTTAAGAATAGAAACCAATTCCGCCTTCACTTCAGAGCTGAGACCTGCTATCCTGTAATACTTCCTATTCACAGCAGTGCTACCTGGTGTACATTCCACAGCCAAAACATGTGGCTGCCTCCCATTTTGCATGTGTCCTCTTCTATGGCAGTAACAGCTCCTCCTTTCTTTTTCAGGAGCACATTTACAAACTGATGAAAAGTGATTCTTATCCTCGTTTTATACGATCCAGTGCCTACCAGGAGCTGCTACAGGCCAAGAAAAAGGTATTGGTCCATCTTGCCTTTGTCTTGCCACTGTGCAAAGCAGTGGTTATGTTTGCAACAATACTCAGTCTTCTCTCCCCTGTGCCAGTGCAACTGGATATCTGGTAGGTGACCAGCTTGGCGTTTTTGGAGGGTCACATACACACAGGAGTTCAATATACATATATGTGTATATATCCTGCATGCGGGCATGTTTCAATAAGTTAATCTAGTGAAAATTATTTTTATTTTTACATCCCATATTGTACTGTTTTCTCTGTTATGAAGCACCTTAAATTGCAAAGTGCTTTACAAATACATTAAAAAAATAAAATAAAATCCCAGAAGAATAGTCTTTCATGTTTGCAAGTTTGCTTATGTAATAATTGTTGTTCTCTTTATTCCACCTATGAAAGCTACAGAATGTGTTTAGAAACAATCTTATTCATATGAATAACTTTTAACTTCAACTATAAATATAGGGGCTTCCCAATTTTGTTTCTGTCCCTATTACTACATGAATAGTTTTGAGTAGGCTAGGAATCTGACCTGAAAGACTGATCATGTCACACTTTGGCAAACAGAGGTTCATGTCTTGGTATGTAATATTTTCTTAGAAAAGTCCAGTTATGGAATGGGTTCTGAATAGCCACAGCCCAGAGTATGTGGAGCAGCTTGTACAATGCAGATTTCCATGATGATAAATCTATCAGTGGGCTCTAAACAGTAATCTCCTAGAATCAGCTGGGAGCCCTGTGCCTGGCAAAATCGGGGCCCCGATTGTTACTGGAACAAGGTAGTTATTAACACTAGCATTCTGTTGTTAATAATGACAACCTAAAATTATATGAAAGTACTATGTGATTTTGTTTTTTGTTCAAACGTTGATTTCTGAAGATCCAATATAGAGAGAGATGTTGAAAATACCAGAAAGCTTCAACTGTCCGTGTGAAGTCCTTAAGTTTGTGAATGTCAGTTCATTAACACAAGATGTGCACTTCATTATTTCTTTTTACTTTCAGTTTTTCTTTAAATTCAAACCAGTTTGATCCCCATGAAAAATTACTTTTGTCTAGTACTGTATCTGTTTTGCCCATCCCCTGTTTTGCCAAGTCCCATTACAGCCTTACACCTGTGTTTGCTTCCTGATTTATACAAACTTTGTTTTGCAGTCCATTGTTACATCAAACCTCCTTTTCTACTCCATTGTTCTTGCTTTTCTTTTCCCCCTCCTTTTTCTTTTTGTTTCTTTTGTTTTATTTATTTCAAATTTAAGTTGGAAAACACTCTGGATCGTCGAACATCTTTTGAGAAATTCACACGCAATGTGGTAAGTTTGTTGCCTCGGAAGACTAGTAAGCCTGATGGGACATCCTTCTTCCCTTCCCCTCACTGATCCCTACTTTCCCTTTTGCTTCTCTAACTTGATGGTTAAAAGTGTATTCATCACAGCTTGTGAATTTTTATGGGAATGACAGCTTTATAATGTGCTTTCATTACAACCCCTCCTCCCTAGTCCCTTTCCCACTGATCTCAATAGTCACACATGGAGGAATGGACCTTTGGGAGCCATGCTTTTTGCATTAGGAAGCATGAAACTAGTCACTTTTTTCCCCCCTATAATTTTAGTAAAGAATCTGTGAAAACTTGCTTGATGTTGTTTCTTTTTCTGGTGCCTTCTAAAATACCAAGTCTAAAACAGTTGAATACATTGGATTTCCATCCCGTCTTCTTTTTATTTTACTAAAAAAGACTTTGTCCCTTTGTTTTTTCAATTGGGCACAGGGAAAAAAAACAATAATAATTTTCCCATCTTCCTTAATGTCTAACAGCTTCTACAGGACCAAAGAATTCATGCTGTTTATGTACAAGGGTTTGATTTGGATTCATTTTCATAATGGACTAAAAGAATTGATTTTTTTTCTTTTCAATGTATAACTTTCAAAAGCTATTTATCAAAGGCAAAAAAAATGAACGCTGGTAGATTTTGTCTGGGCATTCTTTTGCCACCTGCCAGAAGATCCACTGATTTCATGATACTTGGGATTCTTTTTACTTATCCAGTTTCTTTGGGATATTTTTTTCCTTTTACATTGTGAAAGTTCCAACTAAAGAATTCAACGCATTTATTTTTGTAGGGCAGAAACATCCCTATTTTTCCATGCCATAAAAACTGTACACCAACACTGAGAGCGAGCACTAACCTGTTATGAAAAGAGGTAGAAAGATCTTGGATTATACTCGAGTTTGTCTGCATTGTCTGTTGAATTGTGCAGGTGACGCTGCTCTGTGTGTGTGTGTGTGTGTCAGTGGCTTTTTCTGTGACCTGGTTAGTGGAGCTGTGTGTGTTGAAATGAACAAAATGAGAGCTTTCAGCAAAGATCATGGTTTTTGTTTTTTCAGTTTCTAGGGAAGGAGAAGCAGTTGCCAGAAACTGTCTCCCCTGTAATGAGGCTCTAGAGTATTGCCTCAAGTATTTAAAAAATACATATATGCTTTCCAGTAATCAAAAAAAGAAAAAAAATGCAGCGAAAGTTTTGTGAGGCTGTGGGAATATCTCACTTTTAAAAACAAAACAGTAATTCTTTAACTACTTTCTTATAGGTAAAGGCTTCCTGTAATATACTTTGAATCCACTGTAATCAGGAAGAAATTTGGATTCAATGGGACAAAGTCAGTAAAGGACACTAAAAGTAAATAAACAGCTACAAAGGAAACGATCCCAATGTTTGAAACAAAAACCCCTATGTTTTGCATGGTGGTGTTGCCATAGCATGTTGCAGTGTGATTTGTGTGTCGTGTAAACAGGTTGGATCTATAAAACAACATTGTACATGATAGCACTATACATGATAACTCCATTATAATTCAGTAGGAAGTTCCATATTAATAAAAAGTTTGTAAAAGAGAGTGCATAGAGTAGGTAACACATACGGACCTCTGCGAGCCAGACTTTTTCCCAGTCACAGTGCCTGACAAGCTGCAATGCTACATTTATTCAGGGCATTTTGAGCTGCCCAGGGGTCAGGAATTGGCTGTGGTAAACACTGTGCAAACAGGTGGCCATGAGGGGGCAAATAGCAAGATGTATGTAGAGGGGTTGGGAATACAGTGCAGGAAGGGAAAATGGGAAGACAAGACTGGGAGATGCTGAAATCCCTCCCAGAGCAGCCTTACAGATAAACCAGCAGTTCTGGGCACAAACATGGGAGCATTGTGCCCTGCAGCCATGCCCAATTTTCATCCTGCTAATCTCAGGGCAGAAGTACCAGAATAGCAGCATGCCAGAGATGCAAGGCAGGCCCAATAAACCAGCTGTGAACTAGAAATGGACAAGAGGATTTCTGGACATTAGTAGTTTGGTAGAAGAGGGGGATTTTTTTTTTTTCTTTTTCACAGAGCAAACTCTGGAATAAAATCTGTGATTTTGCTTTTTTTCCAACTACTACCTGTTAACCTGGGTGGAGTCTGTCAAGTCGGGTGAGGTATGAAAGAAAAACATGTCACTGCTAGATCTATAATCTCTATTAGACTGACAGCTCTCAGCCTTGCAAATTAATCCAGAGCATCAGAATGCTCAAATGCAAACCTTTTTTCCAAGATGACTGAATTCATGTCAACCACTTCCTCAGGACCTCTTTCCACCAGACATCCTTGTTCTTCCACTCTTGTTCTTGGTTGTGATGAGTTTATAATATGTAATTATCTATCTTGGTACAGTGGTTCCAAACAGCAGGGATGAGGGAAACATTTCTGAGAATATTCTACACTGTACAGATTAACTTGATCAACTGTGAAGTGAGGAACTGTGGAATAGATCTGTTCTACTGATTAGTACAGAAGATAGGTGTGAAAAGGGTCTTCTGCAACCTGGATAAAGCTATCATCTCTGATTTATTGAGATGAAAATTACAGTTTCTCTTCTCTGATGGTTTGCAATATTTAGACTAATTTTCACTGGATTTTTTTCCTCAGTTATATCAAATATATTTATATTATATCAATATATTTGTATTAAACTAAATTGGACCTCAGTTTCTTCCCTTTGAAGTGTTTAATAAAAACACAGTAGCCTCGGCTGTGTCTAGGGACTCAGTCTGAACAGATGGACATGCAATTCATTATCTGATTTGTTGACTCTAGGAGGCTCCTGATCAATGTTAAACTAAATTGGGTTACACTTGCTTCAGAAAGCATTTGTTAAACTAGAAACTTTAGAAACTTTGTAGAGGGCAATTACTCTGTACTATTTCACGAATTACATGGAAATAACCTATTATAATGAGTCATTATTTTAGTCTGATAGAGAAAAATTAGAAGTGGAACTATACACTAGGCTCAGCTTTGAATTTCTTTGAAATTGAAGGGTTTTCTTTCCAGAAAATTTCAGTAAGCTGGTGCAGTTCAGGAATGGTCTAAATGCTCAGTTTAAAAACTGACTAATTAGCTGCTCTGTAGATTTTATAGGGCAAAATTGCTAATGCCTTCAGCAGTCCATGGCAGAAAATATGGTTAGCCTTAGAAACAGGTCTGCATTCACATAAAATATACACAAGTAATAGCAAGCTGGCATTTGCTACATGTAATATTTATTACTGAACATTTTATAGTTTGTATCTGAGTAGTAGCTCCAGCTATCCTTGGTCTTCCCCACTTACACTCCTGGGTACTGTTTGAAAATACAGAGCACAGACACTGCAGCGCTACTGGGACGAAGCCATCAGACAAGTGGAGTAACACGGGTGACCATGTGTGTCACAGCTTTGAGTCAGAGGCACAGAGAGCAGTGACACTGCTCTGGGCTCCCCCCTGCCTGGCTCAGCCCCTCAGCTTTCTCTTTGAGATAATAAAAGTCCAGTCACCTGCAGCTCCCCAAGGGACTAGGGAAATTAAAGATCTAAGTGATGGGGCAGGAGGATCTCATTGCGTGCTAAGTAGAGAGACCAAAACCAGCAGTTTCTGTGACATTTAAAAACTCAAATTCTTTTGAAGAATTCACATGGGGAAAAAAGCTATTAAAAATATGAAAAATGAAAAAGCTCAGCAAATTTACCTCAAGTGCTAATATCTAAATTACAGGGTGGAGAAGTAGGTGAATATACACTGGTAATGTTGATGGGGGCAAAGAGGTTCTTTAAGGAACAATTTTGTCTGTAATTTCTCATGTACATGCAGGACTTATGACAGTGGCAGACTGAGCAGGACTAGAGTCCCAGCTTAGCTGTGATTGCTGGTCTGGAAGCCTCGAGACAAAAGGACCTGCTTTACAGGGGGATGAGTTAATTTAATTTCCACCCCATGCAAATTTTATTGTCCCACCAGGAACTAAGTTAGTGAGGCAAGAAGGGGTAGCCTCCCTCCTTAGAGCTGTGGGGGGACCCACTCCATCCTCATGCCTTGATGCCATGACTCCAGACACCACCATCAGTGTTAGCATTTCATCTGTCACAGTTATACAGAACACAAAAAAAGAGATGCTTGTATGTTTGTGAGGTCTTAGGGAAATACAGCCAGTACAAAACAGACCAAGTTCAGTTCTTCATATATTAATAGTAAGCTATCAAACTATATTTATCTCCACTCATAACCTCATAAACAAGTCCCCATTTAATAATTCTGAGTTTGAAACCATTATATCTTATATTACCTGTATCCTTTCCAGCTGTCTTCTCCCACTTACCTGGAAGAACTTGCTGACCAGAGTCCTTTGATTTTTTCCCCCTCCAAACCAGTAACAATAGACCATTTCATGCATGAGATTTGAAATGGAAAGGCCATAGAACAGAGGACATTTTCACTGAGTTTCAATCCAATGTCCCTTAACAGGACATTGTGAACTACTGCCTAGAGATGGAAATTAAATAAAAGTAGCTTCCTCAGTTCTTATCAGTGGGTCATAGACTTTCTAGATGTTTAAACAAGTGTAATCTCTTTTCAGATTAAAATCTATCCCTTTTATAGAGGAACAAAGCACATAAATAATTCATCTGTTAATCATGAAATTTTACTATATGAATAGGTAAAACTTGTGTACCCTACTGTGCCAGACCAAAATTCCATCTAGTCCTGAAACCCTGCCAAGGGCTAGATTTTTCTCAAGTATAGCATTATCCAAGAAATTCAATGCAGTTTCAGCTCTGGAATCTCATTTTGAATTTACTTACAGGTTATTCCCCAAAATTAAACAAAAAACCAGTTAGAAGAAATATAAATCACAAAGCTGCTTATTTACAAATACAAAACAACAATGAAAATAATAATTAATTGTAGAAATGAAGGCCTTCTCCATTTCAGGAAGAGATGTCTTATTCATATTTGAACAAAAAGAACAAATAAACAATTGAAATTTTTATTTTGGCCTACTGATTTGTAAAGACCCCTAGTTTAAGGAGTTTTTTTAAGAACTGTGCCCACAGAGGAATATTTTAAAGAACATGCCAGTGAGGAATGGCCTCCTTGTGCTGTTCTGCAGTGACTGGAGCTAAGCTGCTGTGCTCTGTGCTGGAAGAGATGAGCTTAGGAGTAGCACTTACACAACCAGGGTCATCCAAGTGAGGAGGAAACACAGACTGGTCAGGTACTGGGCCAGTGTCTGCCATTTTCCAGCTGACAAAAATTTACCTGATTCTTAGGCTATTTGCAGCAATGAGAACTGCAGAGAAGTACGGAAACTTGAGGAGTCAGGCCCAGGACAAACATACTAAAAAAATGTTTTTCTTGTGCATCAGTTCCTTGGAAGCCTACATTTCAGATGGTTATTCAAATTCAAACTACCCCATCTGGCAAGAGGTTTTAGGTCAATCACAAATGAGAGCAGCTCATCAGTAAATGCAAAGTGCAAAAGGAGAAAGAAATGGATGTCACTGGATTTGGAGTGAGCCAAAACAGGAAAGCAGTTGTTCAGCCACTGCCTCCTGCTTCAGATCATTGCAGGAAACAGTTTGGGCCTAATAAGAAAGGAACAAAAGGCTGAAAATCTCAGCCAGAGGCAGAAGGATTTCCCTGCACATGTAACCACTTAGCACTGCAGCTGTGCTGACTACTTGTTCCCCAAATTCAGTAAATATTAGCCCTGTCCCCTTCCTCACATCTGAAAGAGAAATACACCTGCACAGATGGTTGACAGCAGCATCCTGTGCTGCTGTGGAAGCTGAAGCAGAATTTGAACCCCAGAGCAGTGCTGAAGCAATTCCCTTGTGCTGGCAGAGCAAGGGCTGCCTCACCATGGAAAGGGATTTACTGCTTCTTCTCCCATGTCGCTCCAGATGTGCTCCTGTCAGGGGCTGTTTACCCCCCAGCTCTGTGTGTAGTGCCCTGCAATGTCACTTGGAAGCTTTCCCTGCTGATCTGGCTGAGCTGAGAGTGTGCTGCAGGTGTTTCACACGTGAGCAGATGGAGAACACTGAGTCCAAGGAGGGCTGCTTCTCGCCCCACATCTCATTTTGCTCACAGTGGGACTCTACCTCTCCTTCCCCATCAGATGCATGGAGTTCTCTTTTCTACTGCTACCAGTATAGGTCCCGGGGAGTAGCACCTGCACTGGCAATAAAGAAACATGAAAAAGGAACAGTTGAGGTTGTATAGCACAAAGATAATTAATCTTCTAAAAGGAAAAGACCTGATCTTTCTCTACCATACATTTGAACTCCAATGCCTGTAGACATTTCATATTGATTTCTTTTAAGCCAGATGTGTAAGGAGGCTGTCACTGACTTTTTTCCTGGATCATTTGAGGTGTTAGGGTCATGCTGCGTAAATGGGTCAGTCAGCACAACTGTATTTAACAGCATCTGTACATAGCTTTACAATTTTGCCCCCTAAATTCGCTAGAAGTAAAGCTGAAAACTCCATGTTAAGCAGTTAGTATACTCAAATAGGGACTGAATGCTGAGGCCAATTGATTTTGTACTTTTAGATGTACTTGGTCACTCCACCTGCTGTGCTGCCTTCTCATACTCTGACTCCCTTGTCAGGGTATGTGGGCAGGATTCCATTTTGGCATCTGCATTATTAGTAAAATTCTTAAATAGTTGTCCAAAGTGCATTAATACAGCCAAAAAAACCCTAATCATCTTTAGAATTTAGCCATATGCTTCTAAATGCTGATGACAAGAATATATTGAAAATATTAAGGATCTCCTTTTCATTGTTCAGATAAACATTTACTACTTCTGATTCGCCCCTCTTCCCCAATTTTCTTTAATCTCATTAGCACAGGAAACATCTTCATATGCTACAGCTCTGAAAACTGCCATGTTAGATGCAGGTTCCCAAATCAAAATCTGTCTTATAGAAATGCTATTAACATTGTATCTGAAAGAAATAGTTAGGCTCAGCTCTTAAATTATGACCCACAATGGATGATCATTACATCAGTCTGTAAATTAAGTAAATCTGGAAATCTCCCAGAAGCAGTAATTATGAAACTCTACCACAGAGAGCTAAAGTAAAAGTATACTCTGGAACAGAGTTTGAAAGGAATATTTTGTGAAGTGGAAAATAAGAAGTCCCTGCAGATCTAATAAGAAGATGTGATATTTCTGTGTCTGGGCCTGTGTATTAAAAGTTTATTTTCCTAATCAGAAAACTTAATATGATTCAGAATAAGCATTTAAGAAGATCTCTTAAGGAGGGTGTATCTTATAAGCTGTCACTTTTCCAACTTTGTGAAAAATTAGAACTTCTAAGGCATGGAAAAAGGCCATTTGTTGTTGTTGTTCACATGGAGGTTTCTCTGAGGCAGGGCGGGGAGTTGAAGGAAGGGGCCATCATCCAGTGATCCAGTGATCACTGTAGGGCTTTGGAGAAAAAATATCCAAAGATCAGCAATATCCAGGGAGCAGGTTATGTGGAACACAGAAAAAAATTGTCATGACATCTTACTGTGTCTCTAGGGGGAAATTCAAACACTATGTAGAAAACAATCACATAAATCAGAATCAGATCAACTAATAACTACCTTTTGGCCTGATTTCATGTCAGGACTTCCTATTTTATGTGATAACATAATTCATTCCTGAGATGCTAGAATTTGTTTATAGTCCGTCTAGAAATTCCAGATTAAATAGTAGTTACAAATAATAATAAAAATTTATTTCACAGATTTTATACCACAACAAGCATTTATGCAGCTTTCCAGTGTAGTATTGAGCAAATTGTAACTGATAGAGAACTCCTGGTTTTAATATTTTAATTAAGTGGGTTATGCAGTTCAGTACTAAAGGGAACTCATACATGTTTACAGAAAGTAACCAGACTTGTACACCTGTGAACTTAAGTGCAAATAACCTAATGAAAAGCAAAGATAAGCATATGTTCAATATTTTCTGAGATTATGTATAGCACCAAAAGTCCTGAATTGTCTAACAAAATTGTCAAACAAAATGTTAATCTCAGAAATGCTTTTAATGTTTTAAATTGTGTTCCAAGGCCACACTGCTGTTGAGGGTCTTTTGACTATTTGAAAAAGAAAAGATGTCTGTCTTACTATAACAGCTTGCCTGCTGCATTAGAGGAAAGCATAATTTAAGGGTTAGAAAGTATCAAGAAGGTGTGAATTTAATGTACATAGAAAGTGGCAGATGCAGGGAAGACAGTGTGCCAGGAAGGAGACTTTCCATCTTTCAAAGAAGTAGGTAATAATACTGTCAGGTGATGTGGGGAACCTGATGGATGACCAGTCTAACCCAACAGTGAGAATCATGAGTTCCCTTTCAAATTATGTTGTAGGGGCAGTATTAATCCTAATTTGTTCAACTTGTATTTCACAGTACAAAGAATAAAATAGTTATTCTTCCTTTTATGAAGACCCACTCTGATATATTGCATTTGAGCGAATGCTCAGGACCAACTTACAGATCCCTGTGAGCTTAAATTTAATTGATAATGACAATAGGCATTAAATTGTGTAATTCCACTGAGTTATGATACTGCAGATGGCTTAACAATTTATTGATATGGCAGAATATGTTCATTTACTGCAGAAAATGAAGCATCTCTCCATAGTTACAGTATTTTTACTGTATTCTCCTTGAAACCAGTTTGATATTTCTGAATTGGGCACTTAAAATGAACAATATAATAAATGTAAGTATTAAATACCTAACTGGTGAGTTAGAGCCATTTTCTCTTTAATGTTTTATGGTATATTTGTGTTACATTGTCAGGGTATGCCTGTGATGTCAGCTTGCTGTGCCAGCTCTGCCTCTGTTGGATCAGAGCCACAGTAGGATGGCACTTGGAGAGCTAACTCCTTTTATGTGGCCGTAGGAGAGCTAATTCCTGTTCTGTGGTTTCTGTCTGGCTCAGATAAAGCTCAAATCTGCCTGAGATATACCAGAGTGACATACCTTACACCATCTTCTTCATGCTGTAGACCTAGCTCATGGGACAGTCATTACACCTTATTAAAAGAACTTGTTAAACAATTGAAACCACATCCTTGCAACAGGAGGAATGATGAGGAAAACAACAATGTGGAAATCCAACACCTTCAAAGCAGTGCTATGCAGTCACGTGTTAAATACCTGACCAATGTTCCTTATAAATAGTAAATATGGCCTCAACAAACCTCTAACTGTGTTCATGGAAAAGCTGCTTTCCTACCTATATGCAATCTGCCTCTTACTTTCTTACCTTAACTCAAAAGTAGTTTTTTTGTCCTCTGTGACAGAGCTACCGCAGTTTGCCCATTCATCTTTGCAGCACAATGCACTCCTGCTTGTGGTAGCCTTCAAGTTCTGGGTGTGACTGACAGCAAAAACTTCAGCATTAGTTTCTCATTAGCCTAGAACAATCTTGTTCAAAAATGGCCTTTGAATTTGCTGGCTTATTTTGTGAAACAATCTGGCTGGCTGGCAGTGCAGGTGTTTAAGTGTAAGGGCTTCCTGTGGTTTAAGATTTGACAGACTCCAGTTGGTGCCCCTAGTTATTTGAGAGTGATGTGGCAACACTGAGTGGTTGCTGATGAACAGGTTTGCAGTGATCATGCCTCTGTTTTCTGTTTTTGTTTTTTGTTTTTATCTTTTCCTCAGGGGAAATCGCTCACATCAAAGAGGTTAACCAGTCTAGTGCAGTCCTACTAAAAGGATCACCTTGTAGCATGGAAGCAGACTCAAATCATTATACATACTTTGTAGCTCACTGATTGCCTGACTCAGAGGACAGTAGAACAAGATGTTGCATGAGCAAGGACCTGACTTGTTTTCTTTTGTGTATACTAAGGCATTACAGACTCCGAGGGACTCTCTAGCCTTTCGATGCCTCCATTTCGAAAACTGTCTGCTCACTTCCTCCTTCATATCAAGCTGGATCTGTGTCTTTTTATTTTCTGCAAGCTCAAGTACAGTGAAAAAAAAGCTTCTGCTAGGCACAGTTTATTAAAAAAATACGTCAATCAAAAACTGGAAGAAATGTAAAAATGCATATATTAATAAATATACATATGGCATCACATTTATTGCACAATAAATTAGAACAGAAGGTTTCATTTCACTGATGTATTCACATTGAGAAAGAAAGCCTGTGTCTTTGTCTGTTGTCTGTATATTCTCTGTTAATGTTTCTTGCATTTATTTTTATACCATATTTAAAAAAAGAACACCTTTTACTCCAGATGTATTAAAGTTGATCCTTTCTCTGTAAATTTGTGTATGTTTATATTGTTGTTTTATCTTTCATTAAAAGATGCAGAATCTCTTTCCTTTGGGAAGTTTGAGATTTTAATATTGAATCTGAAGATTAGTCAAGAGCAAAATGATCCCCAAAAGTTACACACCTTGTGCTTTCTAAAAAGTGACATGAAATGGCATTTTCTTTCTCTCAGTGACACCTAATCAAACACACTTTATTGATACTCATTTACTTTCTCTTTTCTTTTTATCAAGCTAGCAGCAGAGAGACCTTTCCCGCTTGCTCACCACGGCATAAGCAAACCTTTCTTTAAGCCAGGCCCTGCTGCTGTGTAACAGCGCAGCCTGCGCGGCGATTGGAATGGACTGCACTTCCTTAGGAATGGACATGAGCAAAGCTGCCTGAGAACACAAGGCTGCACTTGCTAAATAGGAAGGACAGTGCTTCTTTCTCCTTGCCGTCACTTGCGACGCAAGGCAGCATTTTAAGCTGAAAAGGTGGTGCTTTAGGAGTGGTCTGTGCAGTAAAGCTCTGGCAGCAACGCAGGAGCAAGCTGTCTATTTAATTCCAGGGCTCTGTTTGGGGATGCTGTTGTGTGTCCACTGCTGAGCTTACTCACACATAGACCTGTTGACAGATTTATGAGCGTGTGTTGATGTTGCCTGTGAGACAGTAGATATAGAGCTCCTGAAACTATATCTGAACTGGAACCAGAAATCTGCTTGGCCTAAGAAACAACACTGTCGGCTGATAGAGGTGATATAAGGATAGTGAGACAGAATCTCAGAGTAGAAAAAAAAGGATGGGAACTAAGTCAAATGACAAAATGCTGATACCTCCAGGGCATGGTAGGGTGCACATGACAAACAAGCCTTTTTAGCAATGCACAGAATAGACTCAGGACAGCCAACTTTACTACCATCTGTCATGCTGACTTTGGTTTGATATTGAGAATCTTGTTTCAAAGAGACTATGAATCCTAAACACGCGTACACAAAGTGGCATGGTCATAGGTACAAGGAGACAATCAACTTGAATGCCTTAATACCAGAGACATCTCATTGAGCATTGGAAAACCACCTGCTTTGGTGCCATTAGGGACAGGACTGTTGTACACAGCAGCTCTGGGCAGAAGGGAGCTGGGCTGCCTTCTGCAGGGAGCACTCACTTCTCCACCAGCTCTGTCAGTAGCCTGGTGCAGCCACAACAAGGAATGCAGCGTCTTTAGAGAGGCAGTCTGAGTGAGCCCAGTACAAAATGTATTACAAATCCATGAATGGCTGTTCCCTATAATCTGCTCAGTTGAGGTTTTTTGAGGTTTGGGATTTCTGTTTGTTCATTGTTTTCATATGCCACTATATTTCTGGTTTCTAGCTAGGATGACAATTACTGCTTTAAAGTGTCTCTGTTTTTGTTAGCACAATTCTACTAAGCTTTTATAGAAATACCCCATCAGAGCTGGGTCCTATCAAGATCTTAGCAAGAGCTCCATGCAGGTCAACTCAAAATATTCACAACATAGGGAGATCAGATGAATTTTAGTAAGTAGCTGCAGTGAATCACAGATCTTAAACTGAGATTTAATTTTACCACTGAAATATGAGCTCTGAGACATGAGCTTGGGGCCAGGCAATCCACAGAAATCTGAGCTCTGCTTCACTTCTCACTGCCAAATAGAGATATTTATTTCCAAACTCCTGCTGCCACCAATTGCATCAACTGGTATATTGCCTCCTTTGCCTTAGTAGTTAACTAATTAGATACCACTGTCTGCTTCAAAGAATCAATGGTTTCAAATACCTAATGTTTCAAAATCAAGCATTAGGCATTTCATGCAACTTCACCCTAAGAAATACTTTCTTTTTTTTTTCCAAATCACTTTGCAACACCAACTGGTCTATAAAAAGTCATGGAGCATTGGTATTGCTGAACCCATTCTGTACTTATTCTAATTCTTTCCTGTCATGGTTTAAATCCATCTGGCAACTAAGTACCATGCAGCTGCTTGTTCACTCTCCTCTACCTCCAGTGGGACTGGGAGACAAAGAGGAAAAAGTAAAACTCATGGGTTAATATAAGAAAAAATTAATAATTGAAATAATTTATATTAATAATAACAGTAATCTTAATGAAAATGAGAGCAAGAGAAGAAGGAATAAATCCTCCACCCAAGACAGACAAATTACGCACAATGCATTTGCTCACCACCTGCTGACCAATGCTCAGCCCCTGAACAGCAATCATCTCTTCTTGACCAACTCCCCCAGTTTCTGTACTGAGCATGGTGTTCCATGGTATGGAATATCCCTTTGGCCAGGTCAGTCAGGCATCCTCTGGATGTTCCCTCTCAGATTCTTGTGCACCTGCTCCTTGGTAGAACATGGGAAACTGGAAAGTCCTTCCCTTAGAGTAGGACCTGCTCCACAAAACCAAAAGCATCAGTGTCTTACCAACAGTATTCTCATGCTAAATGCAAACCACAGCACTGCACCAGCTACTAGGAAGAGAGTGAAATCTATCCTAGCCAAATCCAGGACATTTCCTTTCAAGAAATATGAAGTCTGTATTGAATGGCTGTCTCTCCCTGTATTTGCACAGGATTTAACATGATGTCTCTAAAGTAAAACCAGGCATTACTAATAAGGATGTCAAAGTAGTCAGGGAGCTGTGTTAAGGTTTCATTTGAGCTTGCTCCAAGTGATACAACTCCACTGTTACATATAAGTGAACTTGGCCCAAACAAAATCAATCCTACTACTAGAGGATTTTTAAAAGGTTTGTCTACAGTCTTCTGGTACTTCACCTCATCACTGTCATCAGGCAGTGAGTGATACAATACTGGGACTGGAAACTCCAAGCAGGCACAAACTTCCTTTTGCTTCCCCACAGAGAAAAGCTAAATTTTTATTTCCAAATTTATACAAAGAACCACTTCAAGAATTAAGATTGTCTCAGATAAAGGCATGTTTGTACAATAACCAAACAGTTGCAGTATGACTTTGGTTACACAACAATTTACTAATTAAAAATGTCAATGAGGTCACATATCTGCTGAGGAAAAATGGACCAAGAGAGAAAATCACTCTGAAGGAACCATATTTCTTGTCTTCTAGGGAAAAGCCATCAGTCAGTGCCTCCTGGCTCTGCCCAAGAAGCTTAAAACCCCCATGTGAGATATTAATTGTAATAGTCCTTAAAACAACTGGTTGGAGCCTGAAACTTTCATCTGAGAGTTGAGGTTCTTCAGCCTCTTTCCCCAAACATCCTTGTACATAAAACAGCTCTAAAGCCTACATGATGAAGTCTTTGATGGTGCTGCTACACACTTAGATGGTTTTGTGCTTCCAGATCAGCCTGTGAAGGAAAATGCCTGGTAGGAGAGGCAGAAGATGCCCTGGCACCTACCTGACAACAGTAAAATATTCACCCATTCTTCTGTAAGAAGCAAGTAAAAACAGTCCTTCAACCCTAGAAAAGCAAAGGGAGAGAAAACGGGGCTTACAATAGTGATGAGTTAAATTGCAAAATGCTGAGCTGAAACAGTAGTGGAGGCCTGCCAAAAACTAATGAGTTGAAGGTGAACACAGGACTGAAAAATGGAAATTAATTGTGGTGACCAGAACAGAACCAACAAGGGAGGAGAACTGGAGAGCTGAATAATTAGGAGCAAGAGAGGCAGAATGCAGCTGGTGAATTGCCAGCCTGTTGGCCACAGTCATGCTGAGCTGGAATTAAAACCTGAAAAATCAGGCAAGATCAACTGTGACTGGCACCTTAAAACCCAACAACAACATTTTTTTCATCTAGAAAGCAATACTGAATAATAATAAAATATCTGAGGCTGCCTTTTTCAAATTTCACAAGACATAAATGCCAGATAGTCTCCTAAGAAATAAAAAATAAGAGGGCAACAACCAATTCCAGAAATTGAGACCTGTAGGAATTAATTTAGGGTGTTTTTTAAAGAAAAAAATATTAAAGCCAAAGCAGGTAATCTAAGTCAGGAATGGCTGTTTATGATATGTAACTGGAACCAGGAATTGGAAAAGCCAGAGATTTATTTGAAACTCTTCCAATTATTTATTTTTATGCATGGTGAATAACAGCATGCATAAATTAAATAATTTGAATTTAGGTTTTGAAACTGACATGTTTTTTGTCTTTTCTAGCTAAAGACATCATGCACAGAGCTAACACTGCCCTTATTATAGTAGGTGCATAACACTGGACTTATAATAACAGGACACTAAAACATAGGAATTTTGCTAAAAGAATTTTAATAGCCACAGAGATTTAAAGAAAATAAGGTTTTAATCCCAACATGTTCAAGGGAAATTATCAGCAAATTATTTAAACATATTCTGTGTCCACAATTCATTTAAGCAAGTTGCTAAGTGATTGTGACTCACACCAGTCTGCCTTTTGATCTGACTATGCTGAACAGATTGCTTTATTCTCCTGTGAATTGAAGATGTGCTGAAGTCCCAATATTAAAGAGGTGAAGGGGAAGAGAGGATGGGTTCTCTGAGGGTGGATTCCCCTCCTCATGCTGTTGCCGAGTGTGGAGTTCTCAAGTGGTATTGAAAGTACAATTGAAAGTGTTTTGTTTATATATACATCAACTTGAGGGCTTCAGAGTCTCTCCAGGCAGTCATTACATCTGAAACAATGAAGTTTTGTTTCCCTAATATCTAAAAAAAATATCTTCCTTGCTTTGATTTATCCCTTTATTTTTGACCAGGCTGCTGCACTCGCTACAATAATATGTTCCGAACATAAATGGATATTGCAACATCACAGCCTCCTTTGGTTTTCTCACTGGTTTTCTCTGAAGTGTTGAGTGATTTTATTATTCTCCTCTGGGCCAGGGGTTCTTACAAATTTCTTGGAGATGATTCTTGCAGGACTCCCACCAGAGTTTTACAGGAGGAGGTCAGAGGATTGTTGTTGTACTTCTGCCCATACACACAACTACAGGACTTGCCCATTTTGCAGTAGATTGCCTCTTCTAAACTTTGCCAGTTTATGTGGCACAGTGATGCCCAGATCCTGTGCAGTCTAGCATA